GACTAGCACCAAGTGCAAGAATGGACTAAGCATGAGTGTGACACAAGCATTTGACTACTTGAACACCCAAGGATGAATCGGAGTATCACCAAGTGCAAGAATGGACAAAGCATGAGTGTGACACAAACATGTGACTAGTTGAACAACCAAGGATAAATCGGACAATCACCAAATGCAAGAATGGACAAAGCATGAGTGTGACACAAGCATGTGACTAGTTGAACAACCAAGGATGAATCGGACTATCACCAAGTGCAGTAATTGACAAAGCATCAGTGCGACAAAAGCATGTGACTAGTTGAACAACCAAGGATGAATTGGACTATCACCAAGTCAAGAATTGACAAAGCATGAATGTGACACATGCATGTAACTAGTTGACCAGCCAACGATGAATCGGACTATCACGAAGTGCAAGAATTGACAAAGCAAGAGTGTGATACAAACATGTGACAAGTTGAACAGCTAAGGATGAATCGGGCTATCACGAAGTGGAAGAGTGGACAAAGCATGAGTGTGACTAATGAAAACACAAGCATGTGATTAGTTGAACAGCCAAGGATGAATCAGACTGTCACCAAGTGCAAAAATGACAAAGCATGAGTGTGACACAAGCCTGTGACTAGTTGAACAGCCAGGGATGAATCAGACTATCGCCAAGTGCAAGAATAGACAAAGCATTAGTGTGACATAAGCATGTGACTAGTTGAACAACCAAGGATGAATCGGACTATCACTAAGTGCAAGAAGTATGAGTGTGACACAAGCATGTAACTAGTTGAATAACCAAGCATGAATCGGACTATCACCATGTGCAAGAATAGATAAAACCACTAGTGTGACACAAGCATGTGACTAGTTGAACAGCCAAGGATGAATCGGACTATCACCAAGTACAAGAATTGACAAAGCATGATTGTGACACGAGCATGTGACTAGTTGAAAAACCAAGGATGAATCGGGCTATCGCCAACTGCAAGAGTCGACAAAGTATAAGTGTGACTAATGAAAACACAACCATGTGACTAG